AATCTTCTGATGTCGTCGGTGTAGAAGGCCCTATGTACTTTTTGATAGAATAGAATGTGCTTTTCAATATGCAATTGAGCTCATTTGGTTTGGTTTCCGGCAAAGTGTAATTAATTCTGTTTTGAATGTGAGTCAGAGTGACTCTTTTTTGGCCCCCTGTAAACACTTTCTGGGATGATACAAGAAGCCCTGCAGAGAAGCAAGAATTCGATGCCCAAAGATTTTCATTTGAGACCGCGCTCATATAAAAAAAAGCTATCATCACTCCACCGGAGCCTCTGATAAACTATCTGATCTTCTAAGACGAACCGAGGGGATATAGAGGGCGTCACAGTGAGAAAGCAACTGTGAAAAAATACTCATTCCTCACTGTAAATCGTTCCGCGGATATGAAACCAAATTTGAGCTCTGCGTTGCAACGCGGACTAGATCATTACAAACTGCCGTACTGACCAGTTGACATTTCACTATCACCGGAAATTACGTGGCAGTCACCGCACTCGAAAAAAAAATCGCGTGGATAAGCTGTTTCCAAAATATTTCGCTTGCCGACGACTTCCATCAAAGGAGGATTCCACGATAAGAACGAAGGTCGAAAAATGGGAAACTTACCCAGTGGAGAGACAGGCGGACCCCTAAGGGTGCGGACCAACACGCAATTCGCATCGAAGGATATGCCTCTGGCATGGCCTTCCCTTTGGCGCAGTTGGCCGGAACGCCCACCGACATAGCAGAGAGAGCGTTAGCGTTGAAGAGGGCACGATGAGAGTCGCATCAATGCGAAAATCAACGGGCAAGGAAGGGGTCCCATTTCTCGGGTTCCGGAATGTTTCACATGGTTTCATTCATCCCTACTTCACTGTTCATCGGAAAATCCGCCTTTAAGCAGACAGCAGATACTCTCAGTACACAGAACGTGGTCCTCCCCTAATTTCGAACCGGCTAGAATGAGCACTGAGCGGGCGTGGAGCACCACTTTCATCTCTCCGCCGCCTGCCAGACATCACTGATATTCCCCTGCCTGAATATCGTTGATGGATTCCTAATTGAAAAGAATTTGGTCACTAGGCAGTTCTATATGAGTTCGCTAACTACCGTACATCTTCAAGAGTGTAGAAGTAGGTATCAAACGCTAATATGGAGACTTCAAACTCATAAAACATTCTATTAAAGTCTTTTAGCTCCGAAGAATAATTGTAAATGAAGTCGATAGCGATTTGGAGAGGGTTAGTGTCACGGAGGCGTTGTCTGGCTTGTGGGTGCTCTGGTCTTGTGGTGCTCAGGAGGCCCGATTTCGCGCGGCAAGTAGGTATGAGTCAGCGAACGATCGGGGTAAACCCAGAGAGCGTCGCGCGGACAGAAGGCGAGTAAGTGGAACGAGTCCGTCGTATTGGGGAAGTGGGGCGCTAAGCTAATAGGATGGCATTGCACGTAGGTATCGCACACACGCGCCGCGACTCGTCCGCCGCATCTGCTTCTGTGCGCGACGATGGCCTCCTGAGGGGCGATACCCAACGAGTCGCAGCGCGAATTTTAGGGAAACTGCGTCAAGTTAACTATGAGTTTTATTTTTTTTTTTTTTTTCTATCTTTTCCCGATGACGTCGCTTGTTCGCACTCAGCGCCGCGGACCTTGCCTTCTTGACCGCGCGATGGGCTCCTTTACCCCTGGCTTGTATGAAGATCTTTCCTGGCGATACAGTATGAGGTCGCAAGTTCGATCATATCACTAATGTGAACTCCCTGCCTTACTTCCCCTGAACTAGCTACATTCGATCCAGCCCACGATTTCCTCGTTCTTTTCTCTACAAATGTAACAGTTCCTTGCTGAGAGCGCGCAGGCAAGCAATGCGCCCCTACCCCAACTGTTTGTTCCCCATAATAATGCCCAGATTTTAAGAAAAGCTATCATGGAGAGTAGTCTCAACAACTATTACACCAGGTGAAATATCAGAAGTGCGTTGTAAACGGTATAGCATGCAAACCGCTTTTGTTGCTCATGTGAGCGCGGTAGTCAGTTCGGTTGATACCATGAGGTCATGAACTCCATTACTCTGCACAGTATGATCGTTAGTTTAATTCATTACTTGTTATATCTAGAGATTGACTGATACAAACGCAAGATAAGAAGAGTAAAAATGATAGACTAGACGTTGTAAATTCTGAGTGTGCGCTGGGTGAGGTCCCACGGCGCTAGCAAGCCCATGCGGTGACGGCGCTTTCATAGCAGTGTGGGTCGCCAGGACAGAACGCAACTTTTTTTTTCGCGGCGCGAAGCTTTGTTCACTGCATTGACCCAGCTCCACTAATGATTGGAACGAACCAAAGGGTCCTGCAGCGATAAAAGCTTCGCGCTTTCCTAGTGAACCACACCTCTGTCTGTCGTAACGTGCGGTGTTAACGATCACACAGCATTAGATACGAACCGATCATCCGATCGCGCGACATGTCCCATCACGTCGTACGATCAATACCTACCTAATGCTGTGCAGTCGTTACGATCGTTACAGTCAGACGACCGACTATGAAAGCGCTCAACATCCGTTTACTGGATAAACGGCAAAACGGCATCAAAAAATCTCTTGACTTCCTCAATTGGCTTCCGCTGGAGCTTTTTATTATGAACTATGGTATAATCTTGCGAACTGATAACATGTAGACATCTGTTGGATTTCACGTCGATACCCGTGATCGATATTCGTACGGTTCAGCTCTTAGTTCTGAGTCTTAGCTTGAGCTTCTTACTGGAAAATCGATCTCTTCGGTTCTTGCCATACATCTGGTCGTTTTTCTTGTATGAACCGCCAGATGCAACAGCGAATTCATCAACATTACAGTTAGAGTGGAGGAGGAATGAATCATCAATTTTCATGAGACATCTTCGAAAGCTCATCTACAATTTAGTGCTGCTATGTTGCGTTAGTTTACCAGATATATAGAATTTCTGCTGATGCGTCGCAATCGATTTCAATGAAGTAACATCAATTCTTCCGGAGACCTTATTATGTTGCTGCTTTATTGATAAGTTATGGACTGTCTTAAAAAAAAAACTTTTCTCTTTTTACTAGTGATATTTGCAATAATTTACAAGAAGAAAAGAATATTTGGGAAAGGGGGGGGGGAAAAAAAAGAAACATCCTATTACACCATCTGTGCCTCCACCCCTTTGGTATGCACGGTTATCGATCGGTATGTACGATCACCCTGAGCGCCGCGTTCCAATGAATGTGCCCATCTATTTCATGAGTGCTAGGTCAGAATCACTGTGTCACTGACTGTATCACTTATTACCTTCATTGTGATCATGTAGCTATCTCATTCTTTCCGATCCCACTAATTCCTACTTGCCGTTTTGCACCAATCTCGTCCTGCTGTTTGTGGATATCTTTGTGGTCCGCTTTCACTATGAGTATATTTTCGAACTTGAAGAGTAACAGGATGGTTCTTCCTTATGAAATTAATCCATATGGTGACGCTGTAGTGACTACAAAGGCTTTGTCTCGAGATGTAGTAAAAAATCGCTTCACTGAAGAAATCATCGAAACATACGTACGCTGGAAAAACTGAAAGGATCAAAGGTGTTTGGGTGCATATCAGTCTGCAGGTATATGATTACATTCTCGCATAATTAGCGAGTTACAAAGACCGTAGTTTTCCGATTATCAATTTTAGTATGCATCTTGTAGATCAGTGCTCAAGTTTGTTCTTTAAAATCTACAACGGCCGAGCGGAGGCGCTTAAAAATGGTGTTAAGCTAGATGGGGGAGGGGCAGAGGGCGGGGGGGGGAAGGAGGGGTTAACATGTGCGGCGCGACGCCTTCTACTTGTCTTACTTGTCTGCGTTTCTGAGGTTTAGTCATGAAGGACCGCATATTGTCACAAACGTTAGTTTCGAAATATAGCAGCACGGGGACAAGCTTGGAAAGGCAAGACGATGACGTGGATTCGCCGCGTGGCCTCTAACTACGCTAACACCAAAATTTGTTCTCCTTCTTTTAATCTTTCCTTTAGATTTGCATCAAAATATCGAAAAAAATAAGGGTCTCATCCAGTATGGGGGGGCATCAAGTGGCTGCCCTCACCCACCCCCCTAGACTGCCTACTCCCCTCCTGGCGCACAGGTTTCTCGAAGTACGGGACCCCGTGAGCCAGGGGGAGTGAAGCCAGTTCAGGGGGGTGGGGGTGAGGGCAGCCTATTTGACGTTGCATCACAATGCCCCCCCCCCTTACTGGATGAGACCCAAAAATAATGTGTTCTTTCACTATATCGATATTATTATATTTATTGTATTGTTTTATGAAGGATTGTCATGTGGTTTCGGATCTCGCGAAACTTGGGTTTACCTTCGTCCATGCAGCTACGCATGAGCTCACGATGACTCTCTGGTTAGGGGAGGAACCGTCGCGCCTACCATCGTGAGTGATCACTTACAAATTTATTTCATTACTGAACAATTTTTCAGTTCTATATTTTTGCTGTCCTCCTCAAAACTGCAGCGTAATGCTAAAACTATGGTGGATGGCTGAATAGTGGCCCTCAGCTTCTTGTTCTCTTTCATGTGCAGCCGCGTACCTCACCTTGAAGAGGTCATTTTATTTGGGTCAGGGCCTGCGAGTCTGGGGGTACCTGACTCGGTTCTTTCAACGTGGGTCATGTTGCTGCTCTTCGGTGCTAACTTAGTTGGGGGGGGGGGCACGCGGCGGCGCGGCAGTCTGCTCGCCTGGCATGTTCGGAAATCCGTGGGCCAGGGGGAGTGTAGGCAGTAGGGGGGTGGGGGTGGGGGCAGTCACTTGACATGCGTGAAAAGCTGGAATGTTCGAGTTTACACTGTCTCGCTCGAGAGAGCCCAGGTGAGCAGACTGCCGCGCCGCCGCGTGGCCCCCCCAACTAAGTTAGCACCCCTGCTCTTCACAGCTTTCGCTAAACTCAGCGCATGATACTGTGACCTCAGGTGGTGGGCGCGTAATTCAAATTTCGAATTTTCGCGCTTTCGCGTCGCAACATTTCTTGCCGCGAGGTAATCAGATCACCCCTGACATGAAGTGTGAAGGCGGTGCTTTCACTGAAAAAAACGTTTCGCGCTGACCAACGGAAAAACAAGAAACAGCCTTTATTCGATGTCGCCCGTGCTATAGTTTTTCTGGCAGAGAGCAGCAGAGAGAAAGTTTCCAGAAAGTTAAGGAACTAGAATGGTTTGACGATGAGGCAAGATAGAGTTTACGGGGACTGGGGGATAGCGGACAGATGACTCATATGACCGTGCGCAGTATAGTTTTATGCCATGACGCGTAAATGTACTGTATGGAGTACAATTAACCTGGAAGTCCGAGTTGTGCGTCCTGCGGAGGCTATCCACGATCATTTGTTGACAGAGTCAGCCACAAGCTAACGTGTTCCACAAGCTCTCCGTTGTTTCATTCACCCTACTGAGTGTATTAAAAATTGAGCTCATCAGGAAAGGTGAAGGGTCGATGATGGCGCTGTGAAATGAGACAAATATCTTGGTAACTGGTTTCAGACGGTGATCCCTAATCCCTTTCCCAAATCTGCCAATCGATTCGCTGGATGGAGTTATGAAGGTTTTTTGTTTCCCACGCAGGTCTATTCACAGATGAGGAGTCAGCTGAATCGAGTAGTGGGTTTTGATGAAACGTATTGATCAATTGGGAGGTGCCGTTTGTCTAGGTTAACACAGATTGACGACAGGTGACGTGGTTAACGGGTTCCCACTTTGGCACCGCCGATGGCGGACATTGTGACGCGGTAACGCGTCCCACCCATGTCTCTTTTTTTCTTGCACTTGTGCGACTTAATTATGATCTTTATACTCATTCTCATACATTAGCATACTTAAAAAGCCACATGGCTCACAGTAAGGCCAAATATTCTTTAGTTTGGCGGATGTTTTCCACACCTTACGGATATGTCTGTTCAATTCACTCGTCGTTTTCTTTTCAATAACGTAGACATGTTGATAAAAAGGAATAACAGAAGTGAATTTAAAGATTCGTATGGGAAGAATGGTGTTTTATGGAACAAAACAGGCGATTTAATTTTCGAACGGTTAAAGGGAATGAGTACATTGTTCTTTTTCATTGCTTCGACCGTATGGTCGGTCATTTTCATTATGAACTTTTAAGAAGCGTAGACAGATGAAATCTCTGAATACATTTCATCAATCTAAGTATCGGGATTTATATTTGAAAATCACGGAGTTTGTGGATTGCTTTGATTGACTGAGAGAAATTTGATTTTTAAATGATCTAATTCTATTATTACTCCTAGGAGGAATATTCAGCTACTTTTCGGTATCTGGGATGGTCATCGATGCGGAAGGTCGCGTTCTCATGGTTCGTGAGAATCGCCGGTACGATATTCAATTGGCTCTATTTTTCCAAATCAGAAGTGGGCTAGGTACCTTGGGTTACTTAAACACAAGCTTATGAGTTTTCATAAAAACAGTGGTTTCTTATTGACCACAAACGCTGCGCTGCTCAGGCTGTCACGTGCCGAGTGCGCGGCAATCGTTAGGCTGGTGTATATGTACAGTCCGCGATCCGTCGCAGGTTTCACCCGATTCGCGTGAACCGCAAAAATTGTAAGTGCCCCATTTGATCATTTGAAACACTGAATATGAAACAAGTAGAACCATGAACGGTCGTCATTCACCCATCACCATCAGGCAGAAATGTAGGCAGCGGGCACCTTTCAGCACTAGGATGGGCACTCATGATTTCTGTGAACGCGTCGCCGCGATCGCGGCGAAACTGCGGCGGATCGCAAGACCAGACAGCGATTTACCGATACCTTAAAACGAAGCGCACTATTTCCCCTTAGTGCTTTGGTCTTTATCCAGAACTCATAATATAAGTTGGAAGCCAATTTTTATAATCCTTCGAAAGTGCTATTTCAGTAGGCATCTTTGGAAATTTCCCGGTGGCATGGCTGAACCAAATGAGCATTTGCTTGAAACGGCTGAGAGAAAGGTTCTCGAAGAAACCGGAATTATTGCTAGAGCTGAATCCGTCATTTCTCTCAGGTCAGCTTCCTCCTAATCATTATACTGTGGTTTATCTGGAACGCATGATTTACTCCTTTTTCCCAACCAGCGATCTATTTTCATATGATCGCAGTATTCTCTACTTTGCAGAGAAACTCAACATTCATTCGAAATTTTAGACAAAGACGTCGTACCGAGTATCAGGGTGCCTGCGGCTTCTTTTTTGTGTGCTTGATGAAGTACATCGAGGATGCATCTGTCAGCCTCGCTGAAACCCTTGCCGATGACATTATTGCTATGAAATGGTTCACGAGGTCCTGTTTAACTTTTACCTCTTTGAAAACACCCAACTTATAATATCTTTTGAATTCAATTATTTTTGAATTTGGACTTCTTGTTTTCGATGATTTATTCCGAATTGAATAATCACAAAACCCGAATGCAGGGCTGTTAACTGCCCAGTCCTCGACGGGGGGTCATATTTGTGGTCGGAGATTGTATTTTGGGAGATATGGTAAGCATGAAAGGGATTCGCGCTTCATCAAATTACCCCCCTCACCCTCACCCTCGATGGCCACTGTGTGGGACATAGTGGGCGGAGTTGAAGCGTGTCGACTGACACAATGAAACACTGTAGAAACAGCTATGGTGAGGGCGGTGATGAAAGGTGGTACAATGCGCGTATAAGAGGGGGGACCTCCCCTGAAGGCTGATGGTGGATAGGTCGTATCCAGCTTCTCATAAGAGGGTGAGGGTCGCCGAGTTTTCCGAATTGGAACAACGGACGGTGACCCTTGGTGTTGGTTGTTGCGTCTCACTGTCAGTGCGACAACCGTCACACCTCTCGCGGTCCAATCACAGTAGCGAAATCCACCGCAGAGGTTTACGTTGGCTTCGGTTTCCTCCATGGTCCTGCCACGAATGGCGGAGAGCACAGACGATTGGAGAACAACGCCTAGCTAGACTCCAAATCCCTAGTAAGAGCCATTTAGTGTGGCAAAAGTTCGAATGTGTGAGATCACAGTAGTCATGAGCCGCTGTTTGGGCGAGAGAGCGCAGGCTGAAGCACCAAATTGAGGCGGTTCAAAACACCGAGTCAACTAGCCCGTCGACCCTACGGCGGCCGCGATGGAGGATCCCGCAGCGACAACGTGAGCCTGTATGATGTGCGACGCCACGCTCTGTTATAAAGCCCACTTCCGGAGGGCAGCAGTTGTAGATACGCTCCTAGGCAGTGGTCTGATAGTTCAGGAAAAGAAAGGGAGATTGCTGACGGAAAAGGAAAAAAACATATGTAATACATACCCATGCAGGCATTAAGAGTAAGTGACAGCTCCATGACGCTGTCAGCAACGTGATAAGGCGCCGAAAAGGATTTGCACCTGCCTTCAATGTCAGATCTGTCTCTACGTAGTCATGGCTAGAAAAGTAAGGTGCCTGTAAGGCACAACCGTGAATGAGATGGGCGAACAATGTTGCAAATCAGCTTAACATAGCTTACAGAAACCAATTTCAAAGAGGTTATAATAGCTGGAACTTCAAGAACTTGCATATTCTGGAATGCTATCCAGTGAAATGCTAGAGATATGCTAGCAGAATACTGCTAGTGGGATTTATTCCAGACTGCGAATTTTGAGGGACGTGTGTTTCACTTATGGAAGCTCAAGCCCTATAGCTCGCTGATGCTGTAGTGTGTTGTCACTGGAATAATTTGAAGAATCATCATTGAATCATCACAAATTTGCAATTATTAAAATATGACCCGTCTATTTTTTGTCTTTATTTCGTATTTTCTGAAGAGTCGTAGACATTCTCCCTCACTTGTTTTAGAGACGATATAAAATCGCTGCCGAAACCAGAGTTCTTCGATCATCACCGCACAATTTGGAATGCATACGAGAAGTCGCTGGAGAACTCCAATCCAGAGGATTTGATGACCGAAGCTGGTGATAGAAATGTCACCTCAAAGCTTTTTAACTTCAGCTACTTCTAAGAATACTGCTTCAGTAGTCTAGGCTTAAAATATCAACAAAATATTATTCATACATACACATTCTTCAAACATATTTATTTAAAATGATCATTTGTTGCTTCCTTTAATCTACGAGTACTCTTAATGGACTTAAAATTCATGACTGTGTTTAGTTAAAAGTCGGTTATTTGAATATTCCTGACAACGCATAATGTGGTTGTGCCGTAACATCTCTTTAAGATCCTCCAAGTGTCCATCACTACTTCGTAGCCCTTCTCGAGTACTGTGCCTTTTTATCAGCGCTCAGTCGTACTGCTATGAAGTGAGGATGCGAGAGGCGTTGAAAAAATGGGAGAGGTGTTTCAGATTGGTTATTGTACGCAAACCCCATCAGAGGCGCTCTGTTCTCCACTTAGCGAGCGGTAGAAAGGGCATTATGCCCTATCCGTCATTCGCTGTGATCATTGGTGCTTCGACTGGACCTGATTTCGTATTTGATTCATTAACACGTTGGCGACAATGCGTTTTTTTGCGTGCCTGCCCTTTAACACAGCGCATTTTTTTTGTATTTCCAAAAGATGTTCCATAATGTAGGAACCCATCTACACCAAAAGTGTTGACTACACGCAAAAAGGAACGCCGCGTGGCGAGAAGGCAGAGACGCAGACGGGTCAGCGGACGAGTCGCAGTGCGCACTGTAGCGAATTGGCATCAAGGTAAATGAAATCTACTACAGTATGTCCCACATGGCATAGAAAGCGCTGCTACTTGTTCACTGAACCATCTGTGTCTCTGCCTTCTCGCCGCGCGATGCGTATCGTGCCCAGTACCCAAAATGTTGGATCCCATTGAGAGAAACTTTCGAGGCTTTCCACGTCACAAATCTTTGCCGATCGCTTCTAATGCAAGCGTGTATCATATTGTTTGGCCCATGGGGGATCTCGGTACATGCTAGAAAAATTCCCAATTTTCCATTTTCGCCACACCCGGTGAGCCGGAAATCGGCTTCGATTCAAATCTCAATCTTTGCCGTCGAACGTACCGCATCCCAGCCTCTACCTCAACCCTCGCCCTCCCAACCCCCCAGCTCCCTCATACCCCCCTTTCTCAAGTGACACGCATTATCTACCCCCTAGGAGGCTATACTTCAAATCGCCATTTCGATTAGAACCACGACACTGAAAGACTCCGCACGGCACCGACGCCCCCACCGCACTGACCCACAACTCCCTAAGACGCACTGTTGCGGACCCTTTTTGATTGATATTGTAATCGTGAACAAAATTAGTGCAACAGAATAAATCTTCTATGCAAAAAAAAGTGAGTCCCCTATGTCGAGACGCAATGTCGGCCCAACGCGTTAAGTGGACTGACGCTCTAACTGCGTGGTGAAATTCCAAGTAAAAAATTCTACTGAATCCTACCTACCTTATTTGAACAAAGTATTGTATAATGCTAGTTCTGTGTGCTGTTTTCGGTCACAATAATAAATTTTTGTTTTGACTGCTGATCCGCAGGGCACCCATCGTCATGTATTCACAAGCAAGTCGGAACTCGTCAGACTCGGCGTCTGCGCGCTGTAACCAGCGAGTGTCGCCGTGACGCCCATTGCCGAGTCGCTGGCGACGGAATCGCCCCAACGAACAGTCGCGCCCCATCACACCGGCGCCGCATCGACCTCACCAGCCACACGATCGAATACGTTGCAAGGGAGAATTAATCCTCTCACCCATCGCACTCACCGCTCGTTCTAGTTGCCGCCCTTTTTTTTTCAAATTCTTAATCAGGATAGTGGTGGTCTCCTGTCATTGTAATAACCTCAAAGGTATCTTGAAGTAACTAGCTCGAAACTTGATTGGTTCTTTGATCGAGTGGGAAAATCCATGATAGTTGTATTTCACAACTTCTTTTGGTGGGTCATTTCATCACGTCAATTATTACAGGACCACTTTCCTCGCATTCAAGTGCATCCCACGCAGTCTTTTCCTGATTATATCCTATCGTCGCCCAGCGACTCCGTCGCTGGTGTACAGCGACGCAATCGCCGAGTCTGACCGAGGTCTAACCGTTTCCTCGTAGCCTATAAGTTTCCTCGCCCTGATATTTTTCTTTTCATGTTCGAGATGAACGCGCAACTCAAGTAGAGCCATCCATTCAAATCTCTCGTGTTGTATTGTCTTTGGTGATGTGATACGTTTTGAATTTTGAGCGACAAGGCAAGACTAGCTACAGTCTAAAAGAGAATGTGGAGCAAGACGACGGAACAGACAGGGAAATGCGACAGCTTGATTGAAAGTGAGGGGCTCATGACATAAATTATCCATGTCCTATGTGGAGCCACCTGGCGCCTCCTGCCTGGATCTCTACCACCACTCCCCCCGGCCCCTCAGCTCCCCAACATCGTTTCCGCCCCCACCTCCGCCCCACCCCCTTCCTCCATCGTTCCGCGAAAACCACTGCGACCTTCTCTACCGCTAGCAACCAACGAATTTTTCTTGCATAGTACTGTTTCCTTACACACATTTAAAGGCGAGGTGAATTCTGGTAACGATTGGTTGAGTTGCATAGAAAGAAGTGACATGCAAGTGATGCCCCAGTGACGAAAAAAAAGCGAGGAAATCCGTCACAAACGCGCGAAATAGGGCCTCTTTCTTTACCAGTTCACCTCCGATAGTGGTCGAGCTAGCAACCAACTGAGAAGTCGTTGGCACTTGTAAAACCCCTTAGCTACCATCATACCACCAAAGATTGCTTTGATTGATTGCCATGCTTTGATTGATAACGCACTGTGGGGAAGTTACAATATTATATATGCGCTCGAAGTTAAACTCTTTATCTTAAACATCAGGGACGGTAGTAAAGTCCTCTAAACAGCCAGTCTATAGTTGGCCAATAGGTCGCGTTGACGTCGCCTTCGTTCACCTACCAAAGCGTTGAGACTGCGAAAACTCACGCTGACCTCCGCCAATGGGCCCGAGGTCCCTGCAAGGCAGGGTCAACCCTATCGTTGTTACTTTCTGAAAATTTTTTACGACCCCCCTCCCCCAAGGTGGATTTGATACGACCCCCTTTTCGACACCTCGACCACCATCATCGTCTCTATAGTACTTAATTCTGATACCACTCAACCTCACCAAACTCCGCCCACTTTTTCCTCCAAAAATGCCGTCGAGCCGGAGGGGGTTCCTTTTCTAGGGGTATATACGCCGGCTGAAACGGCAAATTTTTATCTTGCGCGCCCTCCACTCGCACAGCCTACTACCCACGAAATCTTAGTTTCACCTCAATCCCACACGTGATTTCGAGCGACTAAAGTGGGTACGACCCCCCCTCCTACAAACTCAACCAGGTACGACCCCCCCCCCCGTTGTTACTCGTAACAACGTAGGGTTGACCCTGAGGCAGGGTCAACCGTCCGTTGGACAAAGTCCAACGCGACGACGAGAGTAATGCCGAGAGTGAACGTACGCACGGAGACACAGACGGCTCGCGGGTGGCGAGAGTGAATGCCGGCGCGGAGAGCGGTGAACATCGGTCCAACGTCGCTCCAATATCGGTCCAACGTAACGGTTGACCCTGATTGGCACCATAATAAGTGCCAATGTATGGGGTGGCCAATGTATGAGGTGGCACTTTGCCTAGACGGCGAACCCGGCAGAGAAAGGAGAAAGTGCGTGGAGATTGCAGAGACGCAGAGGGTCATGTAGAGGGCGACTAAAATGTACCCCTGAGTACATTTTAGTCGCCGTCTATCTGCGTCTCTTCAATCCCCATGCACTTCCCCCTTTCTCTGCACGTCATGCATTGGTCGCATTGAGCGTCCCTGCCATGCGCAGAGCGCAGGGAAGAAAGGGGTTCGTGGAAGGTGTTGAGTGTGGGCAGCAAGAAAGCCACTGGAGCTATCGATAATATTGATAACTTTCTGCCAATAAGGTGATCAGCTGTCCCCTGCAGTGTTCCACTTATTGATCGTGTTATAGCTCCTTCCTTGGTCCTGGGAGCATTTCACTACTGTACAATCATCTAGGCCATGATCCCACGTTTCAACACGTCGATTGGCGCAGTGGGTTCGTTCCTTGTTGACATTGGATCGCTCGCGGGATCAATTCTCCATAATATGCAACCCTCATAGGTTACTACCTTGCTTTCTACAATTCTTTCAAAGTAACACAGCAATGCTTTGTGGTGCAGTGGCAAACGTCGCGCTCATGGGCGCTGCATTACATGGTTCAAGTCCATGGCGACGCGACTTTTGCTAGGAACTACAGGGTGCGCCAAAATTACGGAGACAACGCATGAGCAAACAATTTGAACTGATATTCACAGATGCTGTTTTCTTCTGTCCTAGTTTTGGTACTGTGGTGTAGAATTGTTTATGCTTACCTTGTTCAACCACCAAAATCTATGGTAGCTGCAGCGGTTGACTGATACTGACACCGTCCCTAAATCATTGGACTTCGACGTTGAGGGTTTTTGGCACGCGACAATTATCATCGTTTTGGTGTATACCCGAGCACTATCAAATACGATCATCCCCAGCTCCACTCACCACCCGCCCCCCACACACGACCTCGCACACTGCCCTCCTCTCCATGAGAACCCGGCTTTTCTGTGCGCCACCCACGCCACCCACACACCTCCTAGCGGACTCATGCTCCGATACAACCCTTCGCAGCTATAACCGCGCTGCGCTCTCCCACTGAGCACATCCTCACGAGAGATAGGAATCAGGGGGGCTCTTTTGGACTTATCAGAGCCCATTGCTATCCTGAGTTTATTTTCACTTTGAAAATCGTTGCTGGGCCTTCCATCAAGTAGGAGCTCCCGTTTACGAGGCAAGGGTGGTTCAGTACTAGTGCAGCATTGATGCAGAACCGATTTTTTCGACTTTGTCGGCTTAAACGGTGGTAGAACAGCATTTCAGATCTGAGCTCGATAGGGTACGCTGTCGGATCCGTTCTAGAAGCTGAGGCTTGCATAAAACACATTATGTCTAGGGATTCGTTGAAGAAACCGCTCTA